GAAGTTCCGGTCCACAGCCTGGGTAGACCAGACCCCCACATGGCAGGAGGCCCCAAGCCCTCAGTTGCCTACACTGTCAGGTGAAGCCAATGCCTGAGCCTACATGTCCCTAAGGGCTGCCACAAGGCAGGCATATTCAGTCGGTTTTCTAAATGTGGGACATCACGGTTACTGGGCTGGAAGGTGCTAGAAACTAAAGACTCTGCCTTTGGAGCAAACTAGAGAACAGTTAGTAAACTGACTAACGAGTGTGGAGCACTTTGGACCACGGCTGCTCTGGAGCAGAGGGTGAGGCCAGTCATATCCCTCAGCCCACAAACGTCATCATCGCAGATCCAGGAGTCCATTTATTTACCCCCTGCCTGACCCTCCCCCCCATTCCCACACGCACACCCTCAAATACCTGCGCTGCTGTACGCGATGTGTTTTTTTCTACGTGTATTTTTTATTGTGGTAAAATATATATAACATAAAATTTACCATGTTAACCATTTTTAATCCATAGTTTTGTGACATCAAGTAGACTCACATTGCTGTGCAGTGATCAGCACCATCCATTTCCAGAACTTACTCCTCTTCCCTTCTGAAACTCCGTACCCATTACACACTAAGGCCCCCATCTCCCCTGCCCCGGCCCCTGGCAACCACCCTTCTGTGTTCTATCTCTGTGAGCCTTCTGGGAGCCTCGTACAAATGGAATATAGAGTATTAGTGGGTTTGGTTTGTTTGTTTGTTTGATGTAACTGGCTTATTTCACTTAGCACAATGTCTTCAAGATTCACCCATGGTGTTGCCAGGGGTTACCTCTTTTAGGTTGTATAAAAAATGCCCCATTGTATCTATATACGACATTTTGTTTATCCACTCATCCATGAGCAGACACTTCGGTTGCTTCTACCTTCTGGCTGAAGCGAATAATGCTGCCGTGAGCATGGGTGCACAAACATCTGAGTCCTTGCTTTTGCTTCTTTTGGGTACATACCTAGAAGCAGAATTGCCAGATCAAGTGGTAATTCAGTGTTTAATGTTTGAGGAACCACCTTACTGCTTTCCACAGTGGCCTCGTCATTTTACATTCCCACCAGCAAAGCACAGGGATTCCAGTTTCTCCACATCTTCACCAACACTCGTTACTTTGTTATTTTGATAATAGCCACCTTAACAGGCCTGAAGTGGTTCAATGTGTATCTTTTTGTATGACTTGTTTCAAAATGTATATGGTTGTCTCATGCACATGTAATTTTTAAGTAAGTAGCATTATGTTATTGACTTCATTCTCTGGCAACTGTTTTCACGTTAAGATCCACCCATTCATTGTGCTGCTAACTTCTGTACCGCACTCTATGGTGGGAAAACATGCTATGTGCGTGTGGCAAGCTGCCACCCAGCGTGTTAGATTCCTTACAGCAATCCTAAGAGATAAGCATTATTATTATTTCCATTATATGGATGAGGAAACACACACAGAGGGTTAAGGGACTTGCCCCCAAGTCACACAGCTGGGAGGGATAGAACTAGAGAATTTAAAGATTTTATTTATTTATTTTTAGAGAGAGGGGAAGACAGGGAGAGAAACATCAGTGTGTGGTTGCCTCTCGTTTGCACCCCCTACTGGGGGCCTGGCCTGCAACCCTGGCTGGGCATTGAACTGGCGACCCCTTGATTCTCAGGCCGGCACTCATTGCACTGAGCCACACCAGCCAGGGTAGAACTAGAAATTTAACTCAGGTCTGTCTGGTGCCTGGGGAGAGCTCATATATTGAGGTGCTATTAAGAGCCACAGCAAAGTTCTGAGCGAAGGCTGAGGCTCGCTCTCCGCTTAGGGTGCTCTGATGAGAGTTCTGGCCCTGACTTCTCCCCATACTGCAAGTCACCTCCCTTTCCCCGATATCACTCTCTGTCTGTGCCCTATGGGGACAGAGCAATTTTAATGCTCCTTCTAGATTTACCACCTGTGATGAAACAACATCCTTTAGCTAAAGGAAAAACAATCAAAATTAAAATCACGTGTTTGTTTCCTTCCAGTATTCCACCTGGGAGCCACTCCAAACATATGCAAACCCTTTGGCAAGTCGGCTTACAGGGTTCCTTCCTGATAGGACTAACCATTCCCAGGGAAACAGGGTTGCTGCCTCTGGTCCCAGCCCACCTCTCTTGAACTTTGCACTTACCATGATGAAAAATTAACTGGGCTAACGTTTCCCTTCCAAGGACAACCTCTGCAAGAGCTGGCCCCTGGAGACCCAGCGCCAGAACAGAGTTCCCACCCATCTGGAGCCGCCCATTCATTCGCTGCCCCAGTTGGGGGAGCACATGGGGTCCGCTTGGCGCCCAGAGGAATCCATCCCTCGACTCTCCTCATTGCTTTGTGAAACTGGGCTTATTCCCTCAGTTCTTTCCACGAAGAACTGAGGCCAGAGGAGAAAGAACCAGCCCAGAAATGGCACTTGTTGGACTGACAAGTGGGTCCAGCTCTGTTCTTCTGCATGCACAGCTGTCCCTCTCACATGGATGCCAGCATGCAAAGCAAGCTCAGGAAAGAGTGGTTAGTCACACTAACCACTAGCTGCTGACCAGTGCTGACCAGTGCTCTCCTCCCCTCAGGAAAACGGGAGGGCCAAATGAGGGCCCTTCCATGACTTTGGAGGGCGAGGCACAGGCGAGGCCCTTCTACTACATTTCGTCCCCAGGTCTCCCTGCGGCTCCTTGCCTCCCCGGTGCAAACGGCCTCCCTTCACCAGACGTCGCTTCTGCTTGTGCAAAGTGAGGGGCTTGCACTGGAGAAGAACAATGTTAATCCTCTTGCTAGATTCACCACTCTGCACAGTAAGAACCATTTATCCCGTTCTCACAGCTAGAAGAAGAGATGCTCAGGGGGGCGAAGGGAGGAAGAGAGCCAGGACCAAAAGCCCTGCCAGTCACTGATGGAGCTGGAGGTCCCTTCGCTTTGACCACCTCTCAACCGTTGGACCTGCTCGGCTCGGTTCAGGTTAAAATCAATGTTTTACTGGGAGATGCAACGGTGGCTGCACGGGCCCCTTTCTCCCGGCGCACACCTGCCACCCCATGAGCTCCCGGAGGCTAGGGACCTTCATCGGTCAGTTCAGGTCCCAGAAATGAGTGCGTGTCTAACCGAACTGAGCTCCCACATCCGCCCGCTCCCCTCGGCCTTCCCAGGGGCCCTGAGGCGTGGTTCTGCTTTAGAACATTTGAATTGTTTGCAAACCTTTTCACCTTAGATTTCCCACCGCCATTTCACAGGTGAGCAAACATCTCCTGGAGTGGCACCACAGCACGTTTGTGCAAAGGACTTTTGTTTTGCAGACAGCTCTGTCAGTGAGGTCATCTTCACCTTCCACAACTACAAGGCTGCTGCAGTGGCAAAGCATTCCAGTTCAGATCCCTGCTCTGCTGCTCGGGATCCTGAGTATTGTGTAATGGGAGGCACAGGGACATCTACCGCCGCGGCCATTAGGGTGATTAAATCAGAGGGCTGCACTTGGGCCTCCTGGAATGAAGAAAGCCACCAATGTGTCAACTGTCTTCCTCCACTTTTGTGTTGAGGACTGGGAAGAAGAGAGTGTAACCTAAGGCTATAGTGGCTGCGGGAAGACCAGCCAGGATGGGAAGCAGGTCCTTACGCCCCAGATGGGGTTCAGGAATTCTCCTTTAAGGTCCACGAAGCAGGGAACTTGGAAGGAAGGAAGGAAGGGCCGAGAGCCGGGCTCAGCGACAGCAGGTGACTGGCTTGTGGGAGGCTATTCTCTCCGACAAGGCAGGGGACCCCCGCGGCGTCGGGGTTGACTGTGTGGATTCAGGCCTACCTCAGCGGGCTTTGTAACTCCCCAGGCAGGAAGGTTTGCGGATAACTTCTGTCTCACCACGGGGATTTCCCGCTGTTAAAAACAAACAAAGGCCTTAGACACCAGGCTACAGGCCTGGCAGGGGAGGGGCAGCCGGAGAAAGGCCCTGAAGGCCTTGGGTAAGGAACTCCTGAAGGCAGTCGCAGGCTTTGTGGGCAGATGCCTCTCAGTTCCGCGGGTGGAGAGGAAAATCCCAGAGCCCCCAAACCCAAGGCTAACTTCCGAACACATAAATTACCCAAGTGCTCCCTCTTGGCCCCGCTGTTGGCGAGTTCTCAGCTTTGGAAACAAAGCGCTGTCTCCCATTCACTAGGTGTCGAATTTCGGATCGTTAGTTCTGTATCGTAAGATTCCAAACACCTTGTAATGCCATTTCCTCCCAAAGATAAATTGTAAAGCGCCCCCATTCATTCTTTCGTATACTTAACAGATGTCTTTGATGCCCATTTTCTACCGGGCAGTCACTCATAAGGCCCAAGGAACCCCTGGCTTCAGCTATTATCCAGGGAGTCACTGAGATTCCCAAATGTCCACTTTGTAGAGACCACTTCTCCCCGCCCCCAACTCCCTCCTTCGCACACACTCTCCGGGCTTTCAGCCGTTGTGATCTCAGCGAAGAGAGTAAAAACAGCCCCGAGGTCGCGGGTGCCCGCGAAGGCCCCTGATTGGGATCAGCGTGGGCGTCCAAGTGCGCGCCGCGACTTCCTGGGCTTCAGTCTTCGGTGCGCCCTCTCTCGGACCCGGGTCCTCCCTGGGGTGCATCGCCAGCCTTTGGCCGGATACCACGCTTTCGCTGCCAGTCTAACCCTTTCGGGCCCGCAACTCCGACGGGGCTTCCTGAGGGTGGGTTCCGCGCCGGCTGCCCCTCTCGCCTCTCCTTTCCCACGACTTCCTCCCGGCGCCCGCGGGACTCAGGTCGTGGCCGCGCGGAGTCCTGCGCGCTCCAGCCCGGGCCGCCACTGTCCCTGTTCGCCCACGTGGGCGTGCTCCGCGCCGGGCGAGGGAGGCCGGGCGCCCTCCGGGAGGCTGGGGGCGGGCAGGGCGCCCAGGGGAGGAGGTGGTGGGGCGCGGGGGCGGAGGCGGGGAGCCCCGGCGGCAAGGGGGCGGTGACAGCGCTTGGAAAGGAGGCTGCACGCGGATTTGCATGAAACACAGACTGGAAGCGGGCGGGAGCGGGAGCTGGAGCGCGGCGCACTGCCCAGGCCGGCCCGCGGAGCGAGCGAGCGAGCGGTGAAGGAGGAGGGTGGCCAGGGGCGAGGCTGCCGAGGCGGAGGGATCTGCGCATCAAAGCGATCGAGGCGAGCAAAGTTTGGCTGGGGGTTGGACTTTCCTTCCTGGAGGCGGCACCCAAACAGCCACCCGGTGCGGAAACCCAAACTTTCTTCTGCCACTCCGAGGCTCGCGGCCGCCGCCTCCGCCCCGCGTTCGGGGCCTGCCCGACCCGGTGCTGCCGTGGTCCGCCCGCCGGCTTCCCCCGCCGCCCTTCTCTCTGCCGTGAGAGCCCCGTAGGCTGCAGCGCCGCGGCCTGGCTCGGAGCACCGGCAAGTTCGCCGAGAGTTGAAACGACGAAGTTCGGGCAGCCCCGGCCCAGCTCCTCTTTGCGCCCCCGGCGTCCCGCCGCGCCCAGCCCCGCCGGGGGCGTCCCTCGGCGCCCGCGTGCCCTCCCCAGCCATGTCGTCCATCCTGCCCTTCACCCCCCCGATCGTGAAGCGCCTGCTGGGCTGGAAGAAGGGCGAGCAGAACGGGCAGGAGGAGAAGTGGTGTGAGAAGGCGGTCAAGAGTTTGGTCAAGAAGCTCAAGAAGACGGGGCAGCTGGACGAGCTGGAGAAGGCCATCACCACGCAGAACGTCAACACCAAGTGCATCACCATCCCCAGGTGGGGCCCGAGCGACCCCTGTGCTGCGGGGCCGGCGGGGCGGGGGTCGGAGCCGGAGAGGCGGTGTGTGCGAGCGTGTGTGTGAGGGGCGGGGGTGGGAGCGCGGTCAGAAAGGGGACCCCGAACAAAACCTTCTCTGCGTTTGCAAAGATTCAGAGCCTGGGGCTCCCACGCCGCACCCGCACTTCCAGACCCCACACTCGCTTTTCACCTCCCGGGAAGGGGGCGCTGCCGGAATCGGCCGCCTCCACTCCGGGGAGCTGCGGGCTCAAAGTTGAGGCCCGCTTTGTTCGGCTCCGCGGGCCGGAGCCCCTCCTCCGCCGGCGCCTCCCGCCCCCGAGGCCCGCGCTCGTGGAGGTGGCGGTGTCTCTCCCTTTCTTTTCCTCAGCCCCGTCCCCCCCCCCCCCCCACGTCTTTCCTCCTCAACAGGAATGCAGTCGGTGCAGCTGGGGCTGTGGGTGAGGAGCGGGAGCCTTGTGATTGACAGATTCCTTCTTCGTTCTCTCTTTGCCTTCGGGATTAGCATTTTTATCGAGTATTTTTAGACTTGGTTGTGCCAGTCTCCCGCCCCCCTCCACACACACTCACTTTGGTCGCAGTGCAATGCTCTGACTTTCAAATGAGAGGCAAGTGGCAGTAGGGTTTTCACGTCCCCCTCCACCTCCCCCCGACCTTTTTTTGCCCTCCTTTCAGTCTGAGATTTCGGGTTGATGCAGGACAGAAGGGGTTTAGAGCCGACCAGATAACAAAACGCACCCCAAAGTGGGCCTCGCAGTGGCCCTCGCATTCCTGCAGAGCCCTTCTTCCCCAAGAGCTTTGCCATCTGTCTGGACCGCCTTTATAATCCACATCGCGCGAGCTAGGTCAGGGGGAGCGCACAGATGGCTGGGTAGAAGGGGTCTGTGACTGCTCCGCAATCCCCGGGACCTTCTCTTCGTTCAGCTGCTCTCCGCCTCGCTGGAAATGGGGGTGTGTGTTGTGGGGAGACACCCCGGTCTCTTGTCTCTCCCCCTAAGCCCCGCTAAAGTTTGACTCTATGCCAAGGGAGGGTGTGTGGCGGGGGAGAGGGTGATGTCTTTGGGGTCCTGGGCTGCAGAGGAATGTGTAGGGGGTCCCCTCAGGCTTGAGCCCCACAGATTGTCATCCTTGCTCTGGAGCCAGGAGTGGCCTCTGTCCTTGGCCACCTGCTCGGAGCAGCTGGGTGAGAGCCGCCAGCGGTGTCAGGCAGGCACAAAGCAACATCTGTCCCGGGAACCCAGGGCAGGCCTCCTCTGGAAATAAATGCCGCATATGGTGGGAGCACTGACTTAAAAAATAATAATTTTTTTTTTAACTGGGTGGATCCAGTCAATAAAGGGGGAGGGAAGGCGGTGTGCTGTCTGGGAAGTGCGCTCAGGGCCTGTGATCTGGAGCCAGGACTGACTTCAGAGGAGGTGGTGTGATGGGATGGTCAGGGAGCCCTGGGTTCTGGTCCCAGCTCTGGTTCTTAATCCTTCTTTATTCTTTTGGTGGGGTGGGGTGGGGGAGCGGGCCAGTCAGAGTCCGCTTCTTCCTCCTGAGGAGGGGTTTCTGAAACCGGCCTTCTCAGCTGCCCAGGTGCATTGAGGACAAGTGGTTTATGCCTTGCACCAGAAAAAAAAATGATACCAATTAGAAAATGAGCAGCTGTGCAAAATGCTTCACAGTGTATGGAGCACTTTCACGTGGTTTCATGAAATGAAGAACGGAAGAAAATCCTGGGAAACAGAGAAGGCAGCTAGGGTTAAGGTTTATCTCATTTTTAAAGTTGAGAAAACATCAGAGGAGGGAGGTGGGAAGGCTGGCCGCAGTAGACAGGGATTCTGACCCAGTGTGCTCCTTTTCCTGCCCCCCCCCTGCTGTTGACTTTGAAGGTTCTGAATACATTCTTTGTTGAATACTAAAGGACTGTTAACTAGTGGGGGGGGGCCTGCAGGGGAGGGCAGCGTGGATCTTTGCTGGTTAGGTTGCTAATGTTCAAGCTGAGGGCGGGGGACAGCCAGGTGGAGAGAGGCCTCGCTTTCCCCTGCCCTGGTCAAAGTTTGCCCACTGGGTGAACGGAGCTTTGGCCTGCCTTTTCCCTCTTCCAAAGGTCTCTGCAGCCTGAGGCATATGAAGCTTTGTATGTTTCTGGAGAGTTCAAGGTAGCTGGCTCCCTGGTCTTTCGACACTGTTAGGAGTGGGGCATCTTCTACTTGCCTGGCAAGGACCTACTGATAAGGCAGATTTAAAAAAAAAAAACAAAACCTATTTTCTCAGGTAGGGAAGCTCTGTTGCTTGGGTGGACCCAGACAAAGTGGGTTTCCATCCCTGGCTTCTGTGCCCACGCCTCTGGGTCACCTTGTCTCCCCTGGCAACAGCTGCTGCTGTTTTGGTCTCAGGCAGAGGACTAAAGGCCACGTTTTGGGGAGGTGGTTAGCTGGCCTCCCACTAGTGATACGGACGGGTCTGGTAAGCCCTGTGGATTGTTGCGTCATTTGTCAGATTGTCTGCCTTCTCCAGAATGACTTTTTATAAGGTATCCTATTGTGTGCGAGGGCTGAGGCACTGGGTGCTTCCAAGTGCTCTGTGAGATTATGGGCCTGGGGGTTGAAAGGATCCCTCAGTCCAAGGAGATTTTGACAAACGTTTGGGCTAAAATGTAACCGTGAGCAGCAACAGTAACATAGAACAGAATCTCACTCCTCACCTGTGTGAGTGCCTGAGTAAAGCTGCAGGTGTTTTCCTGGCCAGTTTATAAGGATGGAGTCAGCAGTTGCCACTGAGGAATGGAGAAGGTATGTGCAGGTCATGTCGGCCATCAGGAGCCACGCACATTTAAAATGACTGTTCTGATGGACTCTGGTAACTCGTGCCTCCACCGATAGGATCCGTGCCTCGGCACCGTTGTTAGGAGTTGAACTGAGCTCTTGGCTTGGTTTGTTTGGAAGGGGAGTTGGGCTTGCTTGTGTCAAAGCCCCAAGTCCAGAGGCAAGTGGGGGAATCTTTGGCTACACACCATCTCCTGCCTCTTTGTGCTTCTTTTTTGGCACAGCCTCCTCCTGTTACCTTCCTCGGCTTTGCCAGGTTACTCTCACCCCAGGGAAAAGGGGAAAAGGTCCTCATCTTTGACACTCCTTTCTCAGACTTCTGGGGACAAGCCTATTGCTAAGGCTGCTTGTTAACCTTGACTAGGAGAGCGGCACACAGGGGCTGGGAAGAGGAGGGGCCCGCAGGATTACAAGTCCATGACTGCGGGGCTGGCTTGGAGCCAGGGCTGAACCCAGGATCAGCTCGAAGTTCCCTTGACATTTGGAGCCCTGGAGCTTGCTGCTGCACCCAGGAGTCGAATGTTTGGGCCAATGCATGTTGCAAACAGCCCCTTGCTCACAGTTCCTAATGAAGTGTTAGAGTTGGACATTGTTGATTCATTGTTATTTATTGGCCCTCTCATGTCTGAGTCAGTATTCCAGGCAGTGGGGGAGGATACAGAGATGCATTTGAGATGGCTCCTGCCTGTGAGGAGCTTACACTTCAGTAAGGGAAACATTAATAGGGCATTATTTGAGTGCCTAACTGCTATTTCTTCCTTAGTCCCAGCCACCAAAAGAAATAGAAACTCTTGGATGCAGTGACATTTTTTTTGAGGGGTAAGGTCAGTGGGGATGACCTATGATGAGTCTTTTAAATACTGTGAAGTCACTGTGTTAGAAAACAAAGTAATGATAGCTATCATTTTTCTCGGGATCTTGACATCTTAATATCTGGGTGGATTTCAGAGTTCACGGACTGTCTCAGAGCCTTCAGGCCTGACCTGTACGGTCAGGGTGAAATACAACTCATGGAAGTGTTTTGTCAACCAGCGAGTTTGACAGACATAAGTGTTATGCTTAGCCCTTTGTGTGTATCATTCATTCATTACTAAATTACTTAATCATTTATTAAATGGCCACTATGATGAGCAAGGCAGGGCGCCTGTTCTCAAGGAGCTCCGTGCCTAGAGTGGGAGACAGCCTTGCCCAGAGGTCCAGGGCAAGAGCTGCAGCCAAGGGCTGCAGGGGCCGAGAGACGCAGGGGCAGGAGGTGGGGAGAGGAGGAAGGGGTCCGCGGGAGCTGGAGTAGCAAAGGAGCACGGGCGTTACCACCCGAAGGAGGTCTCTGGACTGCAGGTAAGCTGAGTGCTTTTGGCTCATGGCCTTAGCGGCTGGTGAGAGGGAGGCCACGACCCCTTTATCTGCGGCCATTTGCCAATCTGAGCGCTGCTGTGAGTGACGGCACCGCTCCCACCGGAGGGCTGGTGACCCTGAGCAGTGTTTGACTCCCCAGGCAAGTGTTCCCTCTTTGAAGTAAAAAAGGAACTTAGTACTTTGAACCTGAAATTCAGGTTTCCTTGGTGGGAACGGTGACTGTAGACCGATTAACTTGGAATATAACAGAGTGTCAATAAGAAGTAGGCAGCTTGGAGACGACTGTGGGTGTTTGGCCCTTCAGAGTTCTGATAAGACCTGGTCTTGCATTCCTCTTTGTTTAAGCCTGAGTTTTTTGTACAGATGTAAGAACTCTTAGTAATGTATTTTTGAAAAGTCTTTGCAAGGATATAGAGTTTTCACTGACAATTCTGATATTAGGAAAACAGTCGGTGAATCCAGTAGTCATTTAGTTCAGATGAGAAATGCAAGAAGATGGTGAAATTGAGAGAATTTGGCTCAAGCTAATCACACCAGGAATCCAATTAAAATGAGTTTTTTGAAAAATAAATATTGGTTTTAATGATGTAAACTTGTAATTGCTGTATTATTATAATGGAAATAAAATTAACACTATTTAATGGGCTGAGCAACCATTAATTTTCACTTGTTAATTTATGAGAATTTGGTGTCGTTTGATGCACAACCCAGCCATTATTCTGCGTGTACTCCTGTGTGCAACAAATAGAAGGAAGCAGCGCTCACCTTGAAAACTGAAACCAGACTTTATTCCCATTACCTGTCCCCTGTCTTCTC